AATATCGGTATCGGATCGGAAGTGCAAAAACCTGGATCGGGACATCTCTAGTCCAGATACTAAAATTTCAACCTTGGTAACAATAGCCAGGAAAAAAAATAAAAAAATTGCTGCCAGGTTTAAAAAAATAAAAAGAAACTTCAATGGTCTTCAACGTTTTCCAGGCTAGGGTCCCCCAAACTGATGGCGAGATGGAGCGGGGACCCCCTAATTATATATATGGTATGAAACTGTGTTATATCAAACTGGTTCTATAGTCACTCTATTACAGATGGAGCAATGTAATGAAAGTAGTTTTGTCCTGGTATTATTATAGTAATTTTTGATTCTGATTCCTGGTTGATGGGACAGGTGTTGTGAATGAAACGGTCCCCAGCTTGAAAGAGCTCCTGTGTGTCACTGAATGTGTGCATTGAAGACTGAAAGACATCTGCCTCCATTTATCTGTTTACTACAGTGTGTTGAATTCATGTTAATGTGTATTTAAAGACATTTCAATTAGTGGAAAAAATTTCAGGGGGAATGTAAAAAAAAAAAATCTCTAATCAACCAAAACTTTCGCACCCCCTAAGGCAGCGGTCCCCAACCACCGGGCCGCGGACTGGTACTGGTCCATCGGTCATTTGGTACCGGGCCGCACAGAAAAAAAAGTATATATATATAATTTTTTGACGATCAGAGTAAGTAAAAATTGCGGCATTCTCTCACAATTACATCAGTCGGTGCATCTGTGCCTCTTGTCACAGGTAAATTCAGTTCAAGACTCATCCTATCTATAACATCCTATCTTTGTGAAGCGGGATTTTTTGCGGTTACAGCGACCAAAACAAAGCTACGGAGCAGACTGGACATCAGGAGCACACTCATTGTCTGATTACGCCTAGATGGGACAGGCTTGTTGTTTTATTTTTATGCTGTTTGTATTTGATTCTACACCAGTCATATAATTTTACCCCCGCTGCCCTAGGGGTCACGGCCCCCCTGTTGAAGACCTCTGATTTAAGGCATAACAAATATTTCTTTAAGCATGAAAAGCTCACCCCTTTTCAGTCTTAACATGGAAACCTTTTTCTTAACAGACCCAAAATTATGCAAAAAAAAAACACGAAATAATTAAAGTTAATGGAAAACAATTTATGTTTAAGGGCACTGCATCCACGTATAGCGTTTTATTAAGCTAAGGGGGGAGTATATAGTACTTCATCGCCACAAATCAATATTTCTTAGGAAAATAATGAGCATTTAGAACAAACCCTGTCTTATTTATCCTTCATGTCAATTCTTCGACACTATAGATACCTAATCAGCAACATAAAAAAATAAAAGCTCCAACTATTGTATTTGTATTTTGAAAAAAAAAGAAAGAAAAATCAAAAACCAAAAGATACGACCCCTGGTTCAAATAGAAGATCAAGAAAGTGCTCTGATATTCAACAATAAACTAATTGGCTACATGAGTTAAAGGGGAACGCCGGTTTTTAACATTGGGCCCTTGATTTTCCATTATTCCTTCACGTTCTACTCACCCATAAGAGTTTTGTGTCATTTGGAGCTGTTCTGGAGATATTCTGTAAGGTTATATCCAAGTAACGTCTTCCTATGGGCAACGAGTTGAAGGCACAAACTAAACTGTTCATAATTTATCATTAATGGTACACCAGCATTCATAACATGTAGGCGAATCACTGTCCCCCAGACATCCGCGGTTATATTTTTTATATTTATATCTTTTAAAAACAAAGCAGAGTGTGTATGACATCATCCGCACGCCAGACTGAAGTTGTGACAGGCAGCCCGGGCCACAGGCGGCTACTCTCTATCCCTTAAATTAATTCGGCTAGCTAATCTGAATCGTTCAATTCCATTTGGAGAGCGAGATCATCTGTGGTAGTAGCACTAGACATCTTCCAGGCATGTGAGGAAAACTAGCAGCAGTTCAGCGGACAGGAAGAATGAACGGTCATACACACACAGGAGATTTGGTTCTACTGCCGCTGTTTCTTGATGTGAGAGATACTGTGGAGGTGTTGCAGTGATTCCAAGTCTCTGCAACGGAGAATAGAAAAATACCTGCTGCTCCTCCGTAACTTTATTTTGACGCTTTGAGTTTCACGCTTCGCACATGTGACGCCAATGCCTTGATTCCCATCGTGCTTCATCTATATTCCCTGGCAGTGATTTCAGCCATGCAGTAGTGATGGGTCAACCCTGATGCATTGGTGCATGCATTGAGCCAATAGAGCAAAACACTGCAATGGTGCATGTATCGTTTCAAGAAAGTCAGGAGTTGTTTCTAACTGACTGACTCACTAAACTGTGTTTAAAAACGTATCTGTCAACATGATGCATCTGCTAAAAAAAAATGTCTCATCTGTTGCGGTTTATGATTAAAATGATCAAGAATCTTGGTGCAACCTAAAAGGAATCGGAACGTTTCAGCCGTTCCATTTTTATCTTAATTTTGTCGTTGTGTCATACTTTTCCTCTCCGTTATCACTCAACTTATCAGAGTTAAAGTTGATTTCAAATTGACTCTTAGTTTATTTACCGTTTTTACTGTACTTATGGAATGGGTGACAATAGTTGAATAAACTTTTAGCTCTCAAAATGGTATCTGTTCCCTATTTGCCGGTACTTGCTGATACCGATACCACCATTTTAGTGCTGGATCGAGGCCCCGCCCGATACTGGTATTGGTATCAGTGCAACACTAGTTGACAGATGTGTTTTTAAACAAAATTTTAGTGAGTCAGTCAATTAGAAAGAACTCCTGTATCAGTAACATGACTTTCTCGAAACAACACTTACACCAATACAGTGTTTTGCTCTATGGGCTCCACGCATGCATCGGTGTTACTGGACCCATCACCATCATTCACATTTTCCCCTAAATTTCCACGTTACGAGATATGTTTACATTATTTAATGGCTGCATCTAAAAATATCAAAGATATTTTTAATGTAAACATAGGTACGAAAAACTACAATATAACCTACAATGCCTTCAATTATATCATTGTAGTAGGTCATCAAAACAATTCAGTTTAGTGTCAAATAAACTGCCTGAAGTGTCTCTAAATGTCCAGCAGGTGTCAGTATTCGGTGAGACAGTATCAACGCAGTTTCAATACAATATGTGAAACGCTTCAAGCCTCATTAAAACACTAATAATAACTACTTGTGATTAAATATATACAGAGCAGGTTAATGTTGTGCTTTGGATGTAAAAAAGGAGAAGTTAATCGAAAATCAAAACAAACGTGGTAAAGAAAGCGTGTAAGGACTGCTAGTAAGCTCAAAAGTGTCTACTTTGACCTTTTCTAAGCGTCTATAGGGTTAAAATAAACCGAAACGAAAAGTATTTAACAGTGTAATCCCACTTACCGTTCAGAATTTAATGTCAGGGTTAGAAAAAAGCTTAAATTCAGAGAAATCGTTGGACTAGCAGGGAGCCGCCATGTTTTTTCTTCTTCTTCTTTTCTATTATGGTGGATCGCAATTTTAAGGTGCATACCGCCACCTACTGTACACGAGTGGTGTAGCAACATTACTTTACATCAAATTCTATTTTTTTTTATTTTGTATTCTATAGATAAATTAATATTTTTTTCCCCTTAATCTGTGAATATCCTTTATATTTCCTTCATGTCCTAATATTCCTTTAACACTCCATTCTTTGCCTTTCCTTCCAACCATGCTTCTAAATTTCATGTTCATAAGTTTTATAGTTCATCAGTAAGTGTTCGACATTTTCTTTTTCTCCACACCCTTTACATTTATCATTATTTCTTCCAGCGTATTAAATATAAGAGCATGCTAAAAATTGAGCAATGGCCTATTAGAGATAAAAAGTGTAACAATCATTTTATAGGCACAGCATTTAAATGTAAAACCTTTCATAATTTTACTGGAATTACAAAAATTCTAACAATAAATGATTAAGGTCACATAGGAAAATATTTTAAATATTTAAAATGGCCAATTCTACCAAAAGTAACAGAAGTACAATATAAAATTATTAATAGTTATCATCCAACAGCAGAGACTGGATGCCTGTGTATTTTGCGTTGAAGAACCAGAAACTATTGAACATTTCTTCTATTTGTGTCGAGTCACAGGTTGCTTTTGACACAACCTGAATATTTGGTTGAGCAACAAATAGATAATATAACACCTTTTCAGATAAATCAAATATTAACATACAAGAATGACATTCCGAAGGATTTATCTGACATGGTCATAATAGTTCTAAGTATGGGAAGATATCATATACATGTATGTAAAAGGAAAAAATCAGAAACCTTCATTAATAAGTTTCAAAAACGAACACAAAATCTTCTATTCATCTTTATCTCTGTTAGTCGACAAATATAGACATATACAAAAACTATGTAGTGACATGTCATACAGAGGGGTAGCCAGAAAATTTCTATAAGGGTGTCCAGGCGATAACCAATGTACACTGAGGGGTGGCCTAAAGTAGATAGGCACCAAAACCTCACCGTCAATCTGCACTGCTCCAGCAGGAAAATTAACGAGCAAAACATCCATATTTTCTAAATAAAGACAAAATATATTTTCCCACAGCCTTTGTTTACAAAAAAAATGAATATATTCAAACATCCGTGCTTTCTAGATAAAAGGTATAATGGATCAAATTTTTCAGATTTGAGTTTTGGGCGAAAATCTTTTCCATTGACATTACTTACAGTACCTACTTTTAGCAGTAATCATTCTGCATAAAATTGACATTTACAATTAAAAATATCTACATAAATATTTAACAAGTTCTTATTAAAATAGTTATTTATCTATGATTTCACTGAAAAATCCTAGATGACTTTTCTCCTTACCCCATAAAACACAAAAATCTATTTCTGTTTGAATTCTGCATTTATCATCTTTAATGTTAGTATATCAATGCCCTTTACAAAAGTAGTATACTTGAAGTAAATTCTATTAAGAATACTTAAGTATAAGTTTAGAAAGTATATCGAACAATGTGCTTTTAGTGTAATTGAAGTATTACTAAAGTAATACTTCTTTGAACTAAATTGGGACATTTTTAAGTTTACTAAAGTATACTTTAGTAAACAAAGTAAACAATTGTTAAGTATATGAAATATAATTTAGAATAAGTAAACTTTAAGTGCACTGCCTGATTTTAAGGAAATTAGTACACTTTTAGTATATTTGAATAAACTACCTTTTACTAAGGGTGTGCATAATTAACTATGATGTTTTTGTTGTTTTTATTGCTAATATATGAAAAATTGTAGAATATTAAGTGGAATATTCAAATGTTTTGAATATTCCATTTAAGAGTATTACTGTTGCCACCATCTGTATTAGAGGGAAATAAATGGTAGGGGTGGCCACAGGGGAGGCCAATGATTGGTCAAAATTTTTGTTTATTTTACTCACAAAATTGCTAAAGTTAACATGATGCCAGAAACTGTCTTGCTGCAGAATGAGTCCGTCTTTTATTTTAATTTAATTCTTTTTTAAGTTTTGTATGTTTCCATTGGTAGTAATACAAGTTTCCTACTTGAAAATGAAAATTAATGTATTTTGTTAAAAAATTTAAATTAAAAAAAAAAGTAAATATATATAAGAGAGCCATTGGAATGCTTTACCTTTGTATATGATTTCTAAACTTGGTGGATTAAACTTCTTCTTAATGTGCAATTATGATATTGATAAAGTTCCCATTAAGTTATCAGCTTTTCACCGCCAGGCCTTCCTGTCATGGACTCTGATCTATAAACACAACTTTCCCCCCATACTGTAGGTATCTTATATGGAATAACG